TTGTGAGGATGGGACAGGTAGGAGCCATCGAGGTTCAAGAGAAAGACGAGGACAGGAGACAGAGAGATAGACCTTTTACGTTGAAAGAACAGTGTGGGGATGAACCAGAAACAGGAAGTCTGGAGACTGCGGACTATGGGGCTAAGACCACGCCCAGAGGAAGAGGTGCGGAATGGTCAGAGGAGGCAGGCTTGAGATAGAAACCAGCAAAGAATTTGATGAACTAGACATAAGAGCGTTGAAGGAGAGGAGGCGTCACCATGATCCATCTACCAAATGCCGAGTCATCACAAACTACCCTTCCTCCAACTTTTCTGTTAATTCTCTTCTCCGTCTCTATCTAACCATCCATCCATCCATCCTGCCATCAACTTATCCTTCCCAGGCCTCCTCCACTGCATTCAACTGTCCATCTACCCATCATCCATCCACCTCACCATCTATCCAAACATTCCATCAACCAACCAGCCACCCATCATCCGACCACCATCCACCATCCACCCACCCATCTACCCATCCATCCACCCATCAAACACACATCCATCTAACCATCCAACCATATCACCCAACCATCCACCATCATCACCTCACCATCCAACCGTCCATTCACCACTCATCACCCATCGTCACCTGTCAACCATTCCACCCAGTCGTATTCCAATTCATCCATCCATCCAAACCAACCATTCCAACCACCCAGTCCAACCATCTCATCTATTCCATCCACTCATCCATCTATCCTCCAGTCCACCCACCCATCCAACCATCTATCCATCAACCATCCGATCCATTTCATCCAGTTACCATCAAACCAACCATCCATCCATCCACTCAACTCATCAACAGTCTATCCATCCAAGTCGCATCCATCTACCCAGCCCATCATCCACACGCATCCATCCATCACACATCCATCCAATCATCCATCCTACCCATCAAACAACCATCCATCCATCACGTCACTCATGGCAGACCATCTATCCATCCATCCTCCATCTACCCACCCATCCATCCAACCATCCATCCATTCCAGTCCACCACAAACCAACCATCCATCCATCTAACCAACACCACCAATCACCCACCATCAGCCATCCACCCAACCATTCACCCCAGCCCATCTACCTCATCCACCATTACTCCATCCATCCATCCAACCAACCATCCAACCACCCATCCAACCATCCATCTATCCATCCAACTATCCATCTATCCATCCATCCACCCACCCATCCATCCATCCATCCATCCAACCATCTATCCATCCATCTACCCACCCATCTACCCATCCAACCAACCATCCATCCATCCATCCATCCAAACATCCATCCATTGATGTAACCATCCATCCATCCACTCACTCATCCAACCATCTATCCATCCATCCATCCATCCACCCATCCATCCACCCACCCATCCACCCACCCATCCATCCACTCACTCACCCAACCATCCACACATCTACCTCTCATCCTACCTATCCATCCATCCAAACATTGACTTATCATCCAAATATTTACTCAACTATCCATCCATCCCCCTGCATTTAGCTTTCTGTGCATTTGCCTTTTAATCCGTGCACCCACCCGCCAGCCCATCCCTTATGCCATCCATCCGCCCGGCCACCATCCATCCATCCTCGTGAACATTCACCCACGATCCTTCCCACCGTGCACCCGCCATCTCTCCAGCCCTTCATGCCGCCACCTACTCATCCCTCCAAACTGTCTGCCCCCCGCCCCGCAGACGTGCCCCGAACGCCCTCTCCAGGCCAGCCCTTCCTCGGGTCTCTCCGGCCCCACCCCTGGCCGCCCCCTGGTGCCAGCCCGGCCCCCCGGCCCGGCTCACTTGCTGTCCAGCAGGTCCATGATGGGCTGCAAGACGTTGTCCGCGTCCTGGGCCACGCTGCTGCAGGCGCTGGCCGGCACGTTCCCTGTCCCCTTGACCTGGCTAAGGATGTCACCCATCTGTTTGACACACTCTTCTATGTGCGGCTGGAAGCTGGGGGCACAGGAGGGAGGGGCTCGGCCCAGACTCTCCCCTCCTCGCAGGGGAAGGCCTGCATGGGGCCACAGGTGCTGACCCGCGGACTGGAGCTTGTGTGGCCGGCGGCAGGGAGGGGCGGTGGCACAGAGCTAGCTGAGCGGGCCTGGGGAGCACTGGGCGAGGGCGGTCACCTGCGCTGCTCATTTCACTCTCACAGCCCTAACCCAGGTACTCTCATCGTCGTCATCACGCCCACTTCACAGGTGAGCCGGCTAAGGCTCAGAGAGGTTACGGGGCTCGCCCGCACAGCTAGCAAGCCGCGAAGCCGGGATCTGCGCTCAACTCTGCTGAACTCTGAGCCCGGAGCCCGCGCCCCTGCGGCTGCCTGCCGGGTCCCGGGTGCACCAGGCTCGGGGGCTGGGGGCGGCTCCCTCCCCCCACCCCCACCCCCACCCCCACCCCGGGGGGAGCTGCCCCCACCTGGTGGCGAACACGCGGCTCAGCTCGTCCAGGACGTTGTTGAGTTTCACCTGCAGCTCCTTCAGGATGTCGCTGGCCTCGGCGTCCAGCTGCCGGCGGGGAGGGGACATCAGGCCGGGTTAAATTAAGCTCCCACGGGGTTTTCTCATCTGACCCGGGGAAAGGCAGCCCAAGGGGCTGGGGAGGAAACTGAGGCACGGAGCGTTAAGCCGACAGCTTAACGTGTTTGGCGTGGTGGCTGGGGCTAGCTGGCGTTGGGGCGCCGGGGCCTGCTGGGACAGGGGGGCGCTGGTGACCCGGCCCTCGACCTCCCTGCCTGGGCGCCGCCTCACCTCCTTCCCGCCCATGGCCTCGAACATCTTCTCCAGCTGCACCCGCAGCTGCTGCGTGTTGTTCATCAGGATGCAGGGCTGCGGGTGGGAGGGCGGGCGCGGGGCGTCAGGCCGCGGGTCCCTCGGTCGGAGCCTCCACTCCCCTCCCCCACCCGCCCCGCCGGGGACTCAGGGCGGGTTCAGGGTCGGGTCTAGGGGAAGCCGGGCTCCCGCGGGGCACCCGAGCACGGAGGGCAGCACTGGGGCGAGGGATCCTGGGGGTGTTGTGTGTGTGGGTGTCCCAGGGATCTCGGGGGACAGGGGCCCGCGTGACCTCCGCGCTGGGCCTGGTGGGCTCAGGGGGGGTCTGGGGACTCTGGGAGCCGCAGGAAGGGGGTCCTGGCCACACTGCCACATTCTTCTCCACGCCCAAGCTTGGCACTCACACACCCGCCAGCTGCGTTGCAGCGATCGATTGGCGAGGCAGACAAGGCGTTGGCTGCACACACAGCGACACAGCGACAGCCCAGACGCGCACACCCGGCCACGCACGGGCAGGCAGACGCGCACACCCGGCCACGCACGGGCAGGCAGGCGCGCACACACGCAAACACAGACACCGTGCCCGCTCGACACGCCCAGACAGAGCACGGTGTGAGACACACACCCACAGGGAACAGTCGGACTGACACACACACACACACACACACACACTCAAACCGGCACATGCGAGCACGCACACCGCCCTGCTGCGGACGCGGTCAGACAGCGTGCGGTGGGAAGCGCAGGGCCGTGCCGGCGCCTGGGAAGAGGCCCGGCATGCTGGGCGTCGCTGGGCGGGGTTGGGCGTGGCCGGGTGGGGTCTGGGCGTGGCTGGGCATAGCTGGGCGGGGTCTGAGCGGGGCTAGGCGGGGCCGGGCATGCTGGGCGTGGTTGGGCGTGGCCAGGGCGTCTGGGCGTGGTTGGGCGGGGTCTGGGCGTGGCCGGCGGGGTCTGGGCGGGGCTAGGCGGGGCCGGGCATGCTGGGCGTGGCTGGGCAGAGTCTGAGCGGGGCTGGGCGGGGCTGGACTGCACGGGGCCCTGGCGGTCACCACTTTCTCCTTCTCCTTGGAGCAGTAGGAGGCGAAGTCCTTGGAGACGATGTCCGCGTACTGCAGCAGCACGTTGCTGATGGTCTGGGAGACACACAGGCTGGGTGAGGGGAGGGGCCGGGCGGGACCGTCCCCCGGCGCCGGGTCCCATCCGCAGGCACTTGTATGATGAGGGCTGAACCCAAACCTATGAGCCCCTGCGACGGGTCACTGGGCTGGGCGAGTTCTCCAGCCAGGGTGACCCCAAGACCCGGGCAGATACCGCCCAATGAAGACGGTTATTTCATGCAGACTCAGCTCTTCCTCGTCGTATTCACCCCCCCTGGACCACATGTGTGACTTGCTCTCAAGTCACATCTCAACTCCTGCTTGCAAGCCCCAAGATCAACATGGCACGACGCCAATCCAATTGGGCCTCAACCCCCATGTGATGATCCTTGCCTCGGGCCCACTCAGATTCTACATAAATCTCAGTGTTCACTGCGGCCTTAATCCCAAATCAAAACCCAAACCTAGTAGTCACCCAAACCCCAACCCCAGCCTCAGCCTCAAACTCCAACCTCAACTCTAACCAAATGGCATTGTCACTCGCACTTAGGATCAGTCCTAACCCTGCCCTCAGCCCCAATGTCAACCCCAACCCCAGCCCAAACCTCAACTCCAACCTCAATCCCAACCCCAGTCCAAATCCAACCTCAACACACACCCTAACCCTAAACTCAACCTCAGCCCAACCTTGACCCTAACCCCAACCTCAAGCCAAACTTCAATTCCAACTTCAATGACCTCATAAACCCCAACTCATTTTAATTTGAGTCAGAATCTCACTCTGTTGCCCAGGCTAGAGTGAGTGCCGTGGCATCAGCCTCGCTCACAGCAACCTCAAACTCCTGGGCTCAAGTGATCCTCCTACCTCAGCCTCCCCAGTAGCTGGGACTACAGGCATGCGCCACCATGCCAGCTAATTTTTCCATATATTTTTAGTTGTTCCACTAATTTTTTTTTCTATTTTTAGTAGAGACGGGGTCTCGCTCTTGCTCAGGCTAGTCTGGAACTCCTGACCTTGAGCAATCTGCCCACCTCAGACTCCCAGAGTGCTAGGGTTACAGGCGTGAGCCACCGCTCCCGGACCCCAACTCTTGACCTAAAACCCAACCTCAACTCAATCCCGATCCAAATCCAACCTCAACACAAACCCTAACCCTAAACTCAACCTCAGCCCAAACCCCAATCCCAACCTCAACTCCAACTTCAATGACCTCAGCAGCCCCAACTCTGACCTCAAACCCAACCCTAGCCTCAGTCCCGACCTCAACTCCAACCCCAGCCCCAACCTCAGTGACCTCACCAACCCCAACTCTGACCTCCAACCCAACACGCAACCTCAACCCCCAACTTGACCCTACCTACAGCCAACACTGACCTCAACTACCCAACCCTGACTCCATCTCCACCCGTGGCCCCAGCCCCCGGCCCCAGCGCCGCCCGCGCCCCGGCACCTTGGCAAAGCGCCTCATGTAGTGCCCCACGATCTGGGGGTCGGGGCACTCGAGCTTCTTGATGATCTCGAAGCTCTGGTTGAGCTGGGAGAAGACGTCCACCACCGAGCAGGAGAACAGCGCGTGCTCCGAGGTCTGCTGGAACTGCGGCCGGGAGGCGGCCAGGAGGGAGGGGGCGGTCAGCCCCCGACAAAGCCCGGGCCCCCCGCACTCTGCTCGCGGAGCGCCAGAGGCCGCCTGCCTGGGGGCAGCTAGGCAGAGTGTGAAACTGACCTGCAGCCAGCCTCTAGGGGAGGCCACGGGCCAACAGAGGCGGGCGGGGGGGTTGGGCTTGGTGAACTCGCATCCCACAGTTGGTTTTTGTTTTGTTTTGTTTTGTTTGTTTTTTGAGACAGAGTCTCGCTTTGTTGCCCAGGCTAGAGTGAGTGCCGTGGCGTCAGCCTCGCTCACAGCAACCTCAGACTCCTGGGCTCAAGCGATCCTCCTGCCTCAGCCTCCCGAGTAGCTGGGACTACAGGCATGCGCCACCATCGCTGGCCTGATATATATTATATATATAACATGTAATATACACACACACACACACACATATATATGTATATATATGTTAGTTGGCCAATTAATTTCTTTTTATTTTTAGTAGAGACGGGGTCTTGCTCTTGCTCAGGCTGGTTTCGAACTCCTGACCTCGAGCAATCTCCCGCCTCTGCCTCCCAAAGTGCGGGGATGACAGGCATGAGCTGCCGCTCCCGGCCCTTCCATAGTTGTGGATGCACAGAACACTTTAAACACCGTGAGGGAGACAAAAGTGGCGGCCGCCTAGCAGAGACGGGTTCTGCCCCCGGGGACTGAATCCCAGTGGACCCCGGAGGGGGCGCGGCTGCCGTGGGCAGAGCAGGACGGCGAGGGTCGGCCTTCTCACCCCGTCCTTTTTGTCTCGCTCCAGGGCGCCGTGCAGGAAGTCCCGGGACACTTCCTCGTTCTCATCCAGCCACTGTATGACGAAGGGTTCGAACCACCTGGAACGGGAGCCAGAGTGGGTCCTGCCGCCTCGAGTCCCTGTCCGCCTGCCACCCACCTGCTCCTGGCCGCCATGGGGCTGGTCCTGATCTGCCTGGAGCTCACCCTGCGACCCTGGGTGGCCACAGTCCTGCTCACCTCCCCCACCAGCCTCAGTTTACTCTACCTGTGAAATGGGCTGAGCAGCCCCTGACCGCACAGGGCCCAGACCTGATGGGATCCCAGTTTGGATAAGTGGCCCGTGGGTTTACTGTCTGCGCTCCCGTTTGCTATCTGGTAGCGGCCCCTCCCTGCCACGGGGCCACCAGGAGCAGTGCATGACACCGTGCCCAGGAGGCCCTCGGTGGTCGGTGGCCACCGTGCCGTTCTCCAACCCACCCGCAGCCTGGGCGTCACACGGCCCCAGCTCAGGTCCCGGCTCCACCACTTAACGGGCGTTGCCTCGCTCGAGGTGCCTGGCAACTTTAACTCTCCAGTATCTTTTTGTTTTTGTTGTTGTTTTGTTTTGAGACGGGGTCTCACTCTGTCGCCCGGGCTGGAGTGCAGTGGCATCATCACAGCTCACGGCAGCCTCCAACTCCCGGGTGATCCTCCTGCCTCAGCCTCCCCAGTAGCTGGGACTACAGATGTGAACCAGTGCGCCCGGCTGATTTTTCTATTTCTGGTAGAGACAGACTCTCACTCCTGCTCAGGCTGGTCTTGAGCTCCTAGACTCGAGCGATCCTCCTGCCTCGGCCTCCCAGAGTGCCGGGATGACAGGCGTGAGCCACCGCGCCCGGCCAGCTCTCCATTTTCCCTTCCACAAAATGGGAACTCTAGCAGTCCCACCTCATCCCACCACAGAACTGCCAAAAGGATTAAATGAGAAAAGGCCCAGGGACGGTTCCTGCTGCTGTCAGGACTCTGAATTTTATGGGCTCTGGCCCCACAGTTCTGTGGCTGAGGACGGAGGACACTGGCTTTGAGCCCTGCCTGCGACCCTGGTGCCCAGGCAGCTCCGGGGAGGTCAGCCCTCCACTTGGGGTCTCTGGGCTGCAGGCGCCACGGTGCTCACCAGGGCCGGGCTCCGGCCAGGGACTTACATGGGGTACTTGTGTGGCGTACTTATGTGGGGTACTTATGTGAGGTAGTTGTGTGGGGTACTTACATGGGGTACTTATGCAAGGTACTTATGGGGGTACTTATGCAGGGTACTGATGAGGGGTACTTACACAGGGTACTTATGTAGAGTACTTATGTGGGGTACTTGTGCAGGGTACTTACATGGGTAGTTGTATGGGTACTTACGCAGGGTACTTATGCGGGGTACTGACGCAGGGTATTTACGTGGGGTACTTATGTGGGTACTTATGCGGGGTACTTATGCGGGTACTGACGCGGGGTACTTACACAGGGGACTTATGTGGGTACTCACGCGGGGCACTCACGTGGGGTACTTATGCGGGGTACTTGCGCGGGGTACTTATGCGGGGTACTTACACGGGGTACTGACGTGGGGTAGTTACGCAGGGTACTTACACAGGGGACTTATGTGGGTACTCACGCGGGGCACTCACGCGGGGTACTTATGCGGGGTACTTGTGTGGGGTACTTACGCGGGGCACTGACGTGGGGTAGTTACGCGGGTACTTATGCTGGGCACTCACGTGGGGCACTGACACGGGGTACTTCCGCGGGGCACTGACACGGGGTACTCACAAGGGGCACTCACGCGGGGCACTCAGGCGGGGTACTCACGCGGGGTACTTACGCGGGCACTCACGCGGGGCACTCACACGGGCACTGACGCGGGGTACTCACGCGGGGTACTCGGGCAGGGTACTCACGCGGGGCACTCACGAGGGGCACTCACGCGGGGCACTGACGTGGGGCACTGACGCGGGGTACTCAGGCGGGGTACTCACGCGGGGTACTTACGCGGGCACTGACGCGGGGCACTCACGCGGGGCACTCACCCGGGCACTGACGCGGGGTACTCACGCGGGGCACTCAGGCGGGGTACTTACGCGGGGTACTCACGCGGGGCACTCAGGCGGGGTACTCACGCGGGGCACTCAGGGCGGAGCCGAGAGAACGGGACGCCACCCGGGCCCTGGGCCACGAGACTTTTTTTTTCGCCCTCCCCTCCCTGGTGTTCTCATCGCTGTTTCTCTGTTCTCCTGTCTCCTCCGCGTTCTTTTTGGTCTTTTGGAACACGCCCCATCCCCTCCCGGGTCTTTTTTTTGGTTGTTGGTTGTTGTTGGTTTTATTGGGTGGTGGTTTGTGAGAGACCGGTTGGGCTTCCAGGCGCAATACCCTTACGGGTTTTTGTTCGCCTACGGCTCCGTGACCTGCTGCGTAGGCTGGCTGGGGTCGTGGGACGCCATGCGGTGAAGGTGAGTTGAATTGAATTTCTTTTTTTTTGAGCAGAGTCTCGCTCTGTCGCCCAGGAGAGTGAGGCCTGCCCTGGCGTCAGCCGTCGCTCACAGCAACCTCACACTCCTAGGCTCAAGCGATCCTCCTGCCTCAGCCTCCGAGTAGCTGGCGACTACAGGCAGGCGCCACCACGCCCGGCTAATTTTTTCTCTCTATATATATTTTTTAGTTGGCAATTATTTCTTTCTATTTT